TTCTTTATTGATCTCCTGTCTTATTTTTTTGCATGGTGATATTAAAAAATCCTCATCTTGTTCACTCTTACTTTGCTCCTCTTCTGTAAGTTCTTTTTTTCTGGCAATCTTTTGTTTACAAGGTTTGCAAAGTTTCTTCCCAGGAGGAATATTCAAACAATTTCTCATCATGACTTGTGACTCTTTTATTGTAACTACGCCAAGATTTTCTAAAAGTAATTGAATTGTATAAAGTATGTCTGCACATTAGTTCAAAACTTTCGTTTATTTTTTGAAAAACATAAATTAATGAAATATTTAAATTTTACAGCTACATACTTGTGATTTTCTTTGTATGTCTATTGAATGGATCACAACAAGCTTTCTGCCATATAGGATACATTTTCAAATATTTTGTATTATGTCTTTCACATAATATTTCTAAGTTTGATAATTCAATATTACAGCGTAAAGATATAATTATTTTTTCTTCATTGCTTAAAGTTTCAATAACATCTTGTTGGCCTTCGCAAGCATCTGATGTCATTAACCCAATAGAACACATCTTAATAAGATAAATTATTTAGTATGAAAGTATTTCCTAAAAATAAAAATAAAATTCTTCTACTTAATTGTATGTAAAAAAAGTTTTTTAATAAATATAATTTTTAATAAATGTTGTTCTTAATGTTATTATTATTAATATTAATAAATGTTGTAAAAAAAGAAGTTTTTAAATAATTATATTATTTAAATTATTAATTTTTAAAAATTTAAATATAATCTTACCAATAAATGTTGTTCTATATCTGAACTTTTATAAACTAAACTTTTATAAACTAATTTTTAATAAACTTTTACAAACTATAGTTGTCAAAATTAAAAAAAATATCATATTAACATAACAATTATTTTTTATAAAATGTTTTTATATAAAAATATATAAAATTATAAATAAAAATAAAAATAAAAATAAAAAAATTCATATAATTAAGTTATCATATCATTAAGACTTCCTTAAATATATAAAAAGTCTATTAACCAAAATTAATTCTTTAGAGAATTCTATAATTTGCTACACACGTACTATCTTTAGGAAGATTTTTAGCAGCTTTTAAGTGATGCCATACCCTTTTAATTTTTTAATTAGTTTGCAATGAAGTGTATTGAATGCTTTTGCAGTAAGAAAAAAGCAATTCGAAGGATACAAAAAAAAAAAGATCTTTCCTACTTTGTTTTCAGTAAAAAAAAAAAGCTCTAGTTTTAAATATATTAAATAATGATATAGTATTAGATATTTCCAAATCTTTGGCTGTAGGATAATTGGAGCTTGATAAGAGTTAACAATGATGTCTCAGTGGATTTAATCCTACTTTCTATTTTTTAACTCATCTACAACTTATCACTACTAAGTAACTACTGTTCATACAAAGTAGTTTGATATGTTTTATTGGCTAAATGGTTTAAATGACAGAGATATGGCAATGCCAGGTGTTATTGAAACACTATTCTCCTCCCCTCTAACTGTAATAAAAAAAATTGTTTTCACCATGTCTTTTGCAATATGCTTTTTTTAAAGTATTCTTGGTAAATTGAACTAAATTAGAACATCACTAAAAATATTTTGTTGTTCCCTCACCCTTCCCCCTCGTTAGAAAATTGCTATGGGCACCCATAAAAGTGGTGTATCTTGGAAACTATGGTTCTATATGTTTTAGTTGTTTTTCCAGTTAGGTTTTTTGTGCCTAGTAAGATAATAAGTAGCTAAAAATATTAAAAGCAAAAAAAAAAAAATCTAGACGGGGGTGTTTTGAGATATATGACCCCTAAGTTTGAATATATAAATTAGGTGTGTTTTTAATTTTAAAGCATGTTCTGCTCATATTTCAGCATTCTAAGTGCATTTTTTGAATTCTGCATTAAAAAAGCATTATAAATGCTAATTTTCATATTTTTATTTTCATTATTTTTCATTTTATTAGAGCAAACGTTTTTTTAAAATGACACAGAAACCAGGTCATTTTGGGAAACCAGGTCTATATTAAAACCTTGATATCTTGTGAACGGCTGAACATTTTTGGCTAAAATTTTGCATGTGAACTTTTCTATATGAAATGCAACAGCTAAAGAAGTTTAAAGAAAATATGAGACCTATGGTTCAAAATCTTGAAAAATTTGGGTGATTTGATGTGGAATTACCCCTATGAAACTATGTGTATAGCGTCTAATAAAATTTGTGAACAAAAGATATAACTAAACTGGTTTGAAACAGAGAAAAAGCCAGAAGTATCTTGTAATAACATACTATATTGTAAGAAATAAAACAGTATTTTTTGAAACAAATAAAAAAAATTTTATTATTTTAAAAGTCATATTAATGGTAATATTAAAAAGCAAAATTAGTTACAAATTTTTAAATGACATGCCAACAATTGCAAACATGTTGCATCATATAGACCACATGTGGCTGACAACTGATTTTAAATACTATTTTATAATATATCAAAAGAGAATAATGTAAAGAGAATAATAGGTGTATAGTGCATATATTAGACATATTAAAAAGATATCATAGAAAAAGAAAAACTTTAAATATATTTACCAAATCTTTCAAAAACTATATATCGCTTAACAAATAAAAGTTAATACAAAAGAAAATTTAGTATTATTAAAATTAAAAATGAGGATAAAAAGATGTAAAAACGTAAATTAATAAAAAAACTTATAGACAAATTATTAAAAACTTTTATAACATAAGAGTTCTTTGTAAGTTTAGGATTTAAAAACAGAATTAAAAATCAAAAAAATAAAATAGTAAAAGTATATAAATTAAAATAATAAAAAATTGCGAAATTAAAAAAAACATTTTTTTAAAAAGTCAATTTTTTTTATAAATAAAAAAGAAGATAATTCTACCAGTAGTTTAAAAAAGCTACTGGTAGAAATTAAAAGAGTTAAACCGCTTTCCAGCACCCCTCCTTCTACCAGAGGTGTCATATGGGGCTTGTCTCCTCCATCTAAAGGAGGGATCATCTCCCCCATATTGACTCCACCAGTAAAAAGCTGTTGGAGATATTGGACCTGGGTGCTGGGAGCGATATTGCAGGAATTCTTGATGCGATGCTAAAAAATAAAAACAAAAAAAGAAATAAATTTGAATACAATACTGCACAAAACAACCAATAAAAATATTATTTAAAACTATTTAGACTTCAAAAAAAAAAAGTTATGACAAAAAAAATAAATAAATAAAGTAATGTAAAAATAAGGATATGCAATGTTTAAATTTCATATATACCTACACAAATACACATAACACCACAAAACTGCATAAGTATGCAAAACAGATTACCTGATGGTCCTGCAGATATTGTTGCTATTATGGAAATAAATAAAAAAGTATATGAACTAACACATATATTAAACAGTTATGTAATTGCATACAAACATGAAAAAAGTAATGTTTAGGTTTCAATACACATAACACTGCATTAGTACGGAAAAACTGCATAAGTATGGAAAACACATTACCTGGTGGTACTGCAGTTGATACTGTTGCTAATGCGGAAATAAATAAAAAAGTATATAAACAAACACATATTTTAAACATTTATGTAATTGATAACAAACATGAAAAAAGTAATGTTTAATTTCAATACACATAAAACCCATAAAACTGCATAAGTATGCAAAACACATTACCTGATGGCACTGCAGATGATATTGATGCTATTGTAAAAGTAAAAAAAAAAAAAAGTGTATAAAGTATCATATGTTAAACATTTATGAAATTGCATGAAAACATGAAAAAAAAAAAAAAATTTAAGTTTTAATACACATAAAACTCATAAAACTGCATAAGTATGCTAAACAGATTACCTGATATTATTGCTTGAGGTGTTAATGTATAGACAAAAAAATAAATAAATAAAGTGATGTGCAAAATAAGATATGCAATTTTTAAGTTTTACATTAAATTACATCATTACCTGATGGTACTGCAGATGATATTGATGCTACTGTGAAAGTAAAAAAAAAAAAAAGTGTATAAAGTAACATATGTTAAACATTTATGTAATTGATAACAAACATGAAAAAAGTAATGTTTAATTTCAATACACATAACACTCATAAAACTGCATAAGTATGCAAAACACATTACCTGATGGTACTGCAGATGATATTGATGCTATTGTAAAGGTAAAAAAAAAAAGTGTATAAAGTAACATATGTTAAACATTTATGTAATTGCATGAAAACAGTAATGCCTAAGTTTCAATACACATAAAACCCATAAAACTGCATAAGTATGCTAAACAGATTACCTGATATTATTGCTTGAGGTGCTAATGTAGAGACAAAAAAATAAATAAATAAAGTAATCTGTAAATTAAGATATGCTATCTTTAAGTTTTAACACGCATAACACTCTTAAAACTGCATAAGAATGCAAAACACATTACCTGATGGTACTGCAGATGACGCTATAGTGGAGATAAAAAATATATTTACATAAACTAACATATACTAATCAATTAAACAGTTTATTTTAGAGTGATAAAACCGCACACAAACATCAAAAAATGTGTGTTAAAATTAAACAAAAAGAAACATAAGTGTACTTTGCTTACCAATTGAATTTTTTAAATTTTCTAAATAGAATAAAAAAAAACTCATTAACATTAGGAAAGAAACTAACATGCAGAATATTTGTCAACTTTAGGAAATCTATAAATAAAGTTGGAACAAAACAAAAGGCAAAAATAACAATCACAAAACAAAACAAACCAAAAAAGAAAAAAGCGACAAAAAAAAAATAAATAAATAAATAAATAAAGAAACAATCCACAAGAACAATATAGTAACTTACTAAGTTGTTGAAATATAAGCCCTATAAAAAAAAAATGCTAAAAATTGTATCAAAAAAGCTAAAAGACCATAGAATACACCTTTTTTTTTTGAAAGTAAAATGCTATATCTTTATCTATAATACACAAATGTAATATAATCAAATTCTGTTTACCCATTGAATGTTCTAATTTTTCTAAATAAAATGAAAAACTTAAACATTAAAATAAACTAACTTGCCAAATATAGAATAACTTTATGTTAAATAAATATGTAATAAAAAAAATAAAGAGCATTACAACAACAATAACAAATTGCTTACTTGGATTCTCAACAGAATCTTCTAATTTTTCTAAATAAAATAAATTTAAAAGTTACAAAAGTCACTTGCTGACTGACAAACTGTCACAACAGACAAAAGTCAATAATAAAGTCAAAATATCTTTAAAAAAACTAAAAAAGCATAAACGTATTTGCACACACACAAAAAAAAACAAACAACAACAACAAAATTCTTCACTTAGCTTGTCCATTACTTCCGCTAAACATTAAAAAAAAGTTATAATTAAAAAATTGCTGAAATTGGTGAAATATATATCTTTGTAACATATCCTTCTCATACAAAATTAGCTTACTAGGCAAGAGCTCTTCGGCTCTGATCTCTTGAACATCTAATATATATATAGACAAAATTAATTTTCAAAATATTTACTTTTTCAATTAAACATATAAGATTTGTCTTAAATTATAAAACTGTTGCACAGTTTTATAATTTAACACATTCAGTAAATGACAAAAAGTTTCATTTTACGTAAAAGTTTAGTAGTTAGAAGACTTAAAAGTCAATTTTAGCTTAAACACGTTTTATAAAATTATAGCTTAAACACCTTAAATAAAGTTTATACGCGTTTTTAAGGTTCACTGCTTTACAAAAACATCAATCAAAATAGCGGAATAAACAAAAACTGAGTTTTGGGTCTACCCCCCTTTTAAAGTTCTAAAAATTAATTTATATATTTTTTAATTTTAGTTAAATTTTAGGGGGGTGTACTTGATTCACGGGGTTAGGGGAGGGCGGCATATCTTGGTTGATTTTAATTAAAAACGGCTAAATTAAATCATGGTTTTATTCACACCGTAAATCAAGTACAGCTCCGCCACTTTTAGAACATATGTAACTTCTACTATATATAGTATATATATATATGGCTTACTTCGAAAAAATGCAGAAACTTCTTCGTCGCCTAAAGATATACAAAATTATCTTAATGTAATTTCTTAATAAAATAATAAGCTAAATATCTCAGTATTATTGACGTATCATCTCTTTTTACCTCTTTAATTAATTAATGTTATACAAAATTAAAAGAATACCTTCTGTATCTTGGCTGCTCATTTCTAAAAAATAATCTTAATGTTTATTCTATTGGGTCAAAAACATATTAACTTCAAACATATTAACATGGTAATTATAAAATAAGTTTAATTTTTTAAATGAAGATTACAATAATTAAACTTGTAGATACAACTTACTTGTCGTCCCTCGCTTTGCAATTGTTATAATCGATATGAAGACCACATGGCCGAGTTTTATTGGTTTTAGAGTACAGTTGGCGCACATATCATAATACAAAAATCAGATGGTTTTGAATCTATTAATTAAGCTGGTTTTATTAACGGATTTGGTGGATTTAATTAGATAACCGCAAGATAGTTTTACAGTGGTTTAAGAGTTAGCGTACGTTTCGTAATACAAAAATCATTTAATATTTGTTTATATCTTAATATTCGAGCATTTCTATTAGCGGATTAGGCAAAATTTTGTGGGTTTTCTGTTTGTCACCTTCTGGAGTAACTAAATTTTTTTTTTTAGGTTTCAGATTACAATTTTTTTTTTTCCCACCTTTCCGTACTTTTTAGGACTCTTGACCAGTTAGTTTTAATAAAAATTTCAGATTGCATGTAAAACCTTTTTTTTATATATATAAGAAAGAAATTTATCTCTTTAATGTGTGTTGAACTCGCAGTTTTAACTAATTACCTAAAACATAAGTATCTCTTTCATGATATATGCGCAACAAATTTCCAACAGCGTTTTTATGTTTTTAAAAATTTTTAAAAACGTTTTAAAAAATTCTCTTCGTTTGGTTTCTTATAGTATATTATATCTTTATTTTTATGTAATGCGTATAACATCTATATGCATTTAAACTTGTTTTTCTTTGTTTTCTAGAAAACTGGATAGGATTTAAAAAAAAAATTGTGTAAGCAAAAGGTTTTGAACCGAAGCGAAGCACTTCAATCGCTGTGGAATGCTATATCATCTTTTCACACTATTTAATAAACAGAAAACTTAATAAACTTTAAAAAACAACATTTAATGCTTTAAAATAAAGAGATATTGTCGCAACGAAATTATTAAGTAAAAATAAATCGGTAGAATTTGATGTCATCTACTTTATAATTATACTGATTGATAATTAAAGAACTTAAAGTTTACATATTTAGATTTTGAATAGACTTTCGTTCACATTGATAAAATACAAATCATAACGGATTGTGGTTCCGAAAAAAAAGGTTAATACACATCTATAATTATTGGAAAGGTCATATTTTTTAATATCAAAGATATCAAAGTTTGGCGAAAAAAAAAGTTATTCGTTTCAAAAAACGTTATTCGTTTCAAAAAACGTTTTACGAAGAGTTTTTCCAAACAATTTTATTTTTAATTGGGTTTTTTTTCGAATTACGTCATAAGCATATTAAGGCGTTTTGAAAAACAGTTGCTGCATATGTTTATAGTAAAAAAGTTAATGTAGCAAAATAAACTTTTAATTGTCAAAAGAAAGTTTTAATGTTTTATCTAGCTACAGGCTTTTTTTTTTTTGCCTCCACAGCAGCATCTTATGAAGTAGCAGGGCTGTCTTGTTAAGTTTTTTCTTTATTAAGTTTCAGACAACTTTTTTTTCAGACCATCCGCAGCTTATTAGGACTAATTACATTCGCACATTAATAACATAAGTGTCTCAATTATCATAGATACGCAACATATTTTTTCTCCTGGTGATTTTTTTTTTTTTTTTTAATGTTTTATGAAGTTTTAGCATTCTTAAAATCTTTTCTTTTGTGAGTGCATAATATCGTTACGTTACATATGTTTGTATATAATCTTTATAAAACTTCGAAAGTATTTGTTTTTTAAAATAATTAAAAAAATTAAAAAAATAAGCTGCCTTTGGTAGGAGTCGAACCTCTAGTTCCTTGTCCAGTAGATCGCCGCCTTATCCACTCGAGCTACACCGGCATATCATCGAGTTTAGATTTTATAATAATGTAGTAATTTTTTTGAAAAAAAAAATGTTAGATCAAAATTAAGGAGAGGTTGACGCAATGTAATTTTCAAGTAAAAATCAAACTGTAAAACGTGATAAATGTTTCAGTTTGTTTTAACATATGCTTTAACATTACTTCGTTTAAAGTTTACGTACGTTAGATATTCGTTCACGTTTTCTTATAATGCTGTGACTCTTTCTTGCCAATACCTCGGTTACAATGGCTGCCAAGGGTTTCGTGTCAAATACGCTCCAAGGGACACTACTACTATTAAAACTATTAAGTTCGGCAATATTATATAGAAGATTATTATTATTATAGTTGTAGCCGTAAAATATACATATATACATACAGCGAGCAGGGAAAACAAAATACTATAAACAACCAGTTTTATAAATATTTGTTCCGAATTTTTTCCTCAACCAGTGATCTAATCTAATTTGAAAAGAAAGTACAGTGGAGTATAAAGTTACTTGCTCGGGTAGCTCATTCCAGTATTTTGCTGATCTATTATATAATTGGTTGTGTCATGAAAGACAGTTTGGAACATATTTACGTCTTATTTTAAGATTATGACCACGTGACAATTAGTTAATAAATTTTGGTTGATATATATTATTAATTATATCAAATCGATCTATTAGTTTGAAAATTAGTATTAGATCGCATCCTAGGCGCCGAAATTCGAGTGATGGTAGATTTAGTATTTTAAATTATTCATAGTATTGAAGATTTCTCAAGTTTAAAGCCCATTTTGTTGCTTTACGTTAAACAGATTCAACCAAAGCTACGTCAGTTTTTAAATACGGGGCCCAAACAGACACTGCATATTCAAGGTGTGGTCTTATAAACACTTTATATAATTTGAGAGCCATTTTTTCATCAACGTTGGTGAATGTCCTTTTTAGCATACCAAAAATTTGTAAAGATTTGGAGACAACTGGTTGAATATGTGTACTCCACTTGAGGTTAGATGTAAAAATGACTTCTAAATCGCGCTCTTTAATAGAGCTTCTTAGGCTTTAATTTATACCTTATTTATTTTTCAAAAAGTAGCGATACATTGGTTTTACCATAATAATAACACAGCATTTTGAAATGTTTAATTTAAGTAACCAAGTGTTTGACCACTTGTATACTAAGCGTAGACGGTCCTGCAGATCAACGAAATTAGTCTGCCATAAAATTTTAAAAAAAAAGTTTAGTATCATCTGCAAATGTTTCACAAGTTTCTGTAAGTTGGGCAAGATAGTTTGTAAAAAGAATAAAGAGAAGCGGGCTGAGAACAGAACCTTGAGGAACACCACTAAAAACATCAACCCAGTCAGAGCTAGTATTGTTAATTGTAACGCGTTGCTTTCTGCATACTAAGAAGAAATTAATCGATTGTAGTAGTTTGCCGTTTATTCTAAATGATTTTAATTTTAACATGAGTCTGGTGTAAGGCACGAAATTAAAAGCTTTAGCAAAGTCGAGGTAGATTACATCTATAAACTCGTGCGATGCTAGGGAAGACGAAATAATATCAAAAGTCTCTATTAGACTCGTTACACAAGACTTATGATGAAGGAAGCCATGTTGATTTGGAGAGAGAAGATTGTTATCATTGATGTGCTTCAAGATTTTATTCTTTGCAATTTTTCAAATAATTTGCACGCAACAGAGGTAAGTGAAATAGGGCGATAGTTTTCAGGAAGTAGTTTGTTTCCCTTTTTTTTATAGATCGGACTAATATTTGCTAATATCATGAGAGTTGTTACTATTCTAAAATTAAAAGATTCATAGAAGATTTTTGTAAGCGGAATTGCGAAGCTTTTGGCACATATTTTAAGTATTTAAGGGTGCAACCCGTCAGGTCCAAAAGATTTGTAAGGGTTTAGATTGGTAAGTTTATTAATAATGTCTGCACTAGAAAAATCCAAGTTGTTATTATAATTGCATTTAGGTTTAACTTCACTTTTATTTAACAATGGAAAATTTTCGGGGCTTTCAAGAGTAAACATAGGTCTGAATTGAGAGTTCAGAAGTTCAAGTATATCGGAAAGAGTTTTAGTAATTTCACCTGAAGCATTTTTGAGAGAACGAATTTTATCATTAATTTTTAGTTAGTTGTTAATGTATTTGTAGACGAGTTTTGGGTTGTTCTGAGATTTTTATATAATTTCTTTTTCATGTTATATTTTTGATTTAAATATTTCCGTTTTAACGGAACGATTAAGACGATTGTATTTTGTTTCGAGATCTTTATTCTTCCATTTAATTGAGCAGTTGATGCGTCAAGCCTATTTTTTTGCTCGGATTAGCTTTTAATATGTAGAGTAATCCAAGGATCATACTTTTTTTTTTGTTTGTTTAACGGTCATCATATGGCTTCCTAATTAAGCAAACGGTCATCATATGGCTTCCTAATTAAGCAATGAGCCAATTTAAAAGATTCAGCGACATAGTTTATTAGATTAGCATCATTTGGTCTATATATACATCC